CCTCGCTCTAGACACCTGATTTCATTTGACTGTGTCAGAGCCATATTGCAGAGGCTGCTGCTTCCAACACAAGGTGAAATAGCTGAGCAGTGCAGGGCCTGCCTAAGGAAATTTGGTTAACCTTAAAGAAACCTCAGAGAATCTGGGTGGGCTCCAAATTTTGGATGATGTGAGCTGTACTCTCCAATATCGAGTTTCAGCCCAGAAATACAGCTCTGCAGCAGTGATAGGACTGAAGACCTAACTTTGTGCTGAGCCCACTACTTTCCTTTGAGCTCTGTAAACTTTTTATGCTGCTGTTGCTCTCTTGTAGCTACCTGTTGCTTTTGGTCATGGCAATTTATATAAAGCTCTTTGAGCAGGGTCTTATCTTTGTGAAGTTTTTCATGATGTCAAGGAAAGCATGGTCCTGATTTCTGTCTGGAGTAATAATACAAATAAATAGTAACAACTATTATTCTTCAGTGTGTGTTTGGCTGAATTTATGAAAAGCATCTCAGCATGGCTGGAAATGACCAATAGCAGTTTCTGCCTTTACGTGCAACCACCATTTCAGATAGATTTAAACCAAACTGAGCAACTGTTTGCATATTTCTTCAGACCTTCTTAACCACCCTCTACCAACCAATTTTTCGTCTTCCTATTGTAGTTGTTATAATCAGGCCTTGATAAGAATTGCTGCCAGAGACATCCAATCACTCTTGTGTTATCATCTGGAAATCATTATAGAGTCCTCAGGACAGATTGAAGCCATTTGATAGCATTGATTAATTTCTTATTTCAAGTTGTGCCATTTCACCTTTCACTGGTTTAAAATTCTTGCCTCATTTAGAATGATACTTTTTTTTTTTTTTACACTGTAAATAACAAAATGTATTTTGTTGTGTGAATCCAAATAAGCTTTGAAGTTTGTGGTTTTGTAATTTGAATGTCATCTGGAGAGTGTATGCTCTCTTGTCAGCTTTAACCGATGCACGATAATCAATTATCGTATCAAAGTGTTCAATTACTCCTTAGTTATGAGGTGCTGTAGCTGTTTGGCTTAATTTCCTGGGAGATTATCAGCACTTTCATTGCAGCATTGGGGTTACTTAGCTGACTGCTTAAAGACGTCTGCTGTGAAAATGAAGCTGGTACTATCTGAACACCAGCCTCCTTGCAGAAAGCAGTGTCAGATGTTTCTTTAACATCAAAACCCACTTCTTTCCATCTCATTTGTGAGTTGGATGCACCGGGTTGTTGCCAGTTCCTAAGAATGGAGTCTTTGTCCATCTATGCTTTTATGGTTAGGAGGGATGCTGAAAGTCCTGGCTACTTTTTTTTTGAGTCTAGAGAGGTTTCAAGTATTCCCGTTTCCTGCAGTACACTATCCTTCCATTTCCCTGTGAATGTGGGAGGAGAGTTACTACTGACTTCTGGGTCAGTATGTTTCTTATTTATTTGCATAATGGAGAAAAGAAATGTGAACAGGTAATGCGTGATTGCCACCTAAGTCCCCCCTTTCAAAGGCCTTCGAAGATCTGTATTTGTGAATTTAAGGATCTCTTCAGATGCAGAGTTGAGATGTTGGTACACCATATTGCCCTTTTTGGAGTATGTGGAGCTAAAAAAATCCCTAGTAATTTTAAAGTCGGTATAAAGCTTTTCTGGGATTACTGTTTTGAACAACACATAGGAGCCCTGCTTGAAGGTTGAGTCCCCCTATCAGCTGTGGTGTGCTGTTGCTTTCCTGCAGGAAGCCACAAACATGTAAACGGGCCAATGCTCAGTCCTTCGTGAGAAGTTAAACAGGACATATATCTAGGAAAGTACAGTGAAAAAAGCAGAGGACATGAAGCTGTGTTTGAGCCACGTTTCATCAGGCTAAAAGAAGGAGAGCATGAGGAGCTTTGCGGTGAGAAGGTCTGTAAAAACATGCCAATTATCCTCATCTCAGCTTGCCTGTTGAGAATCAAACTTGTGATGAGTCTTGTGACCTGTCAGACCTCTTAACTGAACTACAGCTGAAGAGATTCACTACAAAAGGATATAGGCTGCTGCTTATTGTTGATTTTTAACCATGAGAGTTCCTAAGGGAAATAGCATATAGTAATAACATTTAATGGTCTTCTGATGAGCATCTGGTGCTGGGTGTTTTTTTCTTTTAAATTGCATTTAAATTAAAACTGCAGTAGTGCACTGAGTCCTCATTTCCTGTTAGGAGAGAAATTATGATGCTCTATTGATTGTCAAAGCTGTTTCCCATCCTGCATAAATGTGGTTAGTGGACAGTACTTCTCTTGCAGACAAAGACATGACCTACCACCCCCCTCGGTTCTGAAAGTTTTTCCCTCTAAATTATTCATAGTGAAACTACTGATACTCAAAATTCAAAACAGAGGGGAGAAGGTATAAAATACTGTCATGTATGCCTTTGCATTAATTTATGTGCTATCACATTGAATAAAAGGAAATAGCAAGTTAAGCATGTACAAGAAGCCACATGATGAGTATAATTGATGCATTCAGCCTATAGAACATACATATAATAGTCCATTGTAGTTATGGGATTGGCCAGCCAATATTTTTTCCTTGGAGATCATTACTTAAGCAGATGACTCTTGACCCTTTTCTTTTAGTGCTTCGAGAAGTTTGCCAGAAAGTACCCTTTTGTGCCAGTCAGCCTTTAACATCTCCCTCTGAGCAGCCTCAATTTTTCATTTAACTTACTTCTGAACTTCAGTCTGCTTTTTATCCCAAGGATCTTTATGAGAAATAAATTGGAGCCTTTTCAGAAACGCAACTCTAAAAGCTTCTTCCTTACTAGTTAAAAGCTTATCACAATGTAGCAACAATGTATGTGTTGTAAAATGGTGTAAAATTTAAGAAAAAATAAAAGATAAAAAGGCAAGGGAGCAACACTGAAGCAACACGTTGGGTGTTTCTGTATAGAAACTCACTTACCTGCGCAGTCCTTGGAAATGTAGGAAATGTGATTCATGGCAGTGGATAGGAGAGTGAAGAAACTTGCTGTGAGAAAGGCGAGGATATACTTTGACATAATTTTGCAGTTACCATTGGTTCCCATCTCCCCAAGGTGGCTGATGGGCAGAATAAAGAGAAAGGCTCACAGCCTAAATGGCAAACCTCATTAAACTATCTGGTTTATATAGGTGGTGTCTCAGGAAAGGAAAAGTACTTGGTGAGGCCTTGAAGATTGAAGTAGTGCATAAAACCAAAGGGTTCCTTTTCTACATTGCTGGGGAAAGAGCAAAGGAGATGCTAGTGAAGAGAGACAATGACCTGTGCATGCTTCCCCTTGGGGCAATCATCATCTGAATGCTTGTTAGTACCCAAGACTCCCCTATAAGACGTACTGGTGTATGCAGGGACAGGGGAAGAAAATGCAGGTCTTAATCTGAGTTGGATCACTCTTTTAGGTCTGCAATGAAAAGGTATTTTTCTCATCAACTACCCTCTTACAAGGGGAATGCAGGTAGACTTCTGGAACAAACTATAAAGAAATCCTATATCCTCCTATAAAACAGAATAAAAAAGCCTATCATCAAGGAGAGTGATAGGGGATCATCCGTGTTTTGAGAATTAACGTGATTTGGAGGCCCTCTCACCCCACCCCAGTAATAACTTGTGAAAAGCCTTCTGAAATATGGCTTCACTGAAGCCAAGGTGCCAACAGGTTCCTTCTCATTTGTTGTCCTTCCCGATGAGGCCTTTCTCTGCTCAGTGCATGTGATGATACCCACTTTACTAAAAAACCCTACACAAATGATGTCTGCTTTTTGTTTGCTAGGAAAGACAGACCTTGGCAAATAATTACTTCTCATTCTTACTCTTAACATATGTATGACTTATTATTTATAGAGACTTGTAATAAAAATGGGAACGATTTTCTTGACCCCGTATGTTACAGCTTAAACCAATAAAAGAACAAAGGAGGGGAACGTAAGAAAAGGACATAGGAAAGGGTTTTGTTTAGAGTTACATGCATGGCTAATAAGTATATCCAGAGAAAAGAGAAAAATACACCAGATTAATAACTGTGATGTTCTGCTGGCTTATTGCTCTCTAAAGACTTTACTCTCTGTGGACACAGAGCTGTATAAAAGATGAATTAGTTGCACTCTGCATTTTGGTCATCCCAGTAATGATGGCAACATTTCTGTTACAAACTCATGCTCTCCAAGGAAAGCAATCCTCTCTGTATTATTTCCAAGGGAAAAATTAATGGGGTTCACTTCTTCATGTTGCCTCTATACTTGCTCCTTCATCTTTGCTTCTCAGTGCTTGACCTCCTTTGAATTAGTCATGTAAAGCAACAAAATGCTGCTTTAAGTTCATAAATCTTGGTCCTCCTATGTCCTGTGAACAGGTCCAGCTGAGAAAGTGAAGAAGAAACCTGTCAGGATGCCATAACAAGCACCGTATGTCAGAAACCCACTGGACAAAAATCTTATCTCAAACATTAACTTTGTTTTTGCAAAGCAGGAAACGTTGCTTAATTCATATAGTAAATATTTCTTTGTGTATCATGGGGAGCTTTCTTGTAAGTTCACATTAGCTGGAAATCAGGACAAGGCTTGAAGTTTGCTCCCTCATTGCTATGAAAGGAGTTGTCTTTTTCAAGTGGTGTTTTTCAACGAAACCCCTCAGCTTTTGAGCTAGGCAGAAATGCATTGCGATTGACCTCAGTATTGCATTCTGCAGTGATTAGAGAGAAAGACTTTTAGACTGATACTTAAAAATAAGGAAACATCTCAGAAAGAGAGAAGTAGGTGGGCAAAAATCCAGAAGTGAGGAGAAACAGCAAAGAGAAAAGGTTCATTACACATATAGGAAAGGAGAAGAGGGACAGGGATGAGAGTGGTGTTTATTTCACAGGGGTGAAATCAGAATGCAAATACAGATTGAAAGAAGCCCACAGAAGGTTTTTTTAACTGTAGAGAAGTTTGAAACTGGTGTGAAATGAGTTGATTCTCCGTCTTTTTCTTGCTTTATACCAGTGCTGTTCCAGAAAATACGACTGCATGCAGCATCAACAGAAAGATGAGAATCCAGGGAGTCGCAGAGACATCCTTCATGCTGATGACTGTGAGGGATGAAGGCTCAAGAAGTGTAGAGGTAGTCTGGGCATTAATTGCTTGGGAATGTGCTGCTGTTTCACCTGTGGCTTTTTCCAGGGCCCTGCATCACAACCCTCCTCTAAAATATTTTGCAAGCATACAGATCAACCTTTCCCAGCAATAACTTGGCATGGGGTTGTGTTGTCCCCCCTCATCTCCCTGCCTCATACCTGGCAGCTCTGCCTTATACCTGGAGGACCTAGAGCCCAGGGGATAAATGTCTAACCTGTGGTGGAGGATTGCATCAGCCAACAAGCCTGGTAATCTTGTATTTTTATGAACACTGAGCTCACCTTGGATATTAAAAAATAGAAATGTATTAGCTGGTAAGCGTGTTGGGTCTCTTCCAAGGCACACTAGTGTGTTGCTCTGCACACCGGCATGGAAACAATTTGCAGGCCAGAGAGCCAGTAAGCTTTCTCTCAAGGAGCTGTGCCACATGCTGCTCTCTCCTTTTGCCTTCCGAGCTCTTTGTTCAACCTCTTTTGCTCCAGTTTCACCATCTGAGCTTAAACGTGGCCTTCTGACATGGAGAATCTGTGTGAGTAGAGGCACATTAGTTGTAAAATCCCTAGCCAGTCTCATTTTTTGGCATGAAGGTGGCTGTTACGGCATTGTTTTTATTATTCATCAAAAGGAAACTTTCAAAGTAAATACATCAAATACCACATAGCATAAGCTCTTCCCAACCACTGCTTCCTCTCCCTTTTTCTTTTTCCCTACCTCCTATTTTTATAAGTAATCAAATTGTTACTCTAGAGTCAATTCCAGGTCATCTTTCATTTGCTCAAAGTATATCCTTATTGGCAAGCTATTTTCCCATTATTCAGGAACACACATATTGTTTTACTTACAGCTGTGTGCTGTATTTTATGTTCTCATATAAATGTTATGCCTGGATTACCATAACTAGAGCAAACTGGTTTTAGGGTTTGTTGTTGTTGTTATTTTTAGGTTCCTCCCCCCACCTCCAAAACAGGAGAGAAGTATTATTATATCTATTTTTTGGTATCTTCTGTAGTTTTCACATTTCTCTAATTTCTCCTTTCTATTTCTCTCTGATAACGCGGATACCCCTCTGCTGTGTGAGATTCCCTAGTTTGGGGAATGATGATAGCTGAGTTTTGGGAGAGGTTATGGGGCAAGCAGCATTGTTTTTATCCAACGAGGGGCAGGAAAGAAGACAAGGCAGGGACAGACTCCAGAAATTCCTTACCCGCTGTGTGAAAAAAGTATTTTTTCATACCTGTTTTAAACTGTTATTAGTTTCAAGGAGTGTTCCTGCTTCTAGTGCTGCAGGATCTGGTGAAATCTGGTGAGTTCTGCATTCACTTACTGTTCTCTTGATTTTGGGAGGTGATCAAATAGAAGCTCATATTTATGTATTGAGGGCCCAGAGAGGGAAAGCACCTAAATCCTATTGGCTTCAGCATGTTCTTAAATATTTACTCAAGCGATTAACTTACTTGAGGTCTTGATGCAAAAGAATGCATTTGTAGCAACAAATACATATTGTTATTATTAATCTTATCACTGTATTTCATGCCTGTGCGTGCTAATGCTTGATGCACTACGGAGAAATACAGCATGCACAAGAGATGGATTTTCCTCTATATGGATGGCAAAAGACAAACAGAATTTTCCCCTTATTTTTTGGATGTCTGGGACACAGGAAGACCACTGGAGAAAAGTGTGCTGCTGAATTCCCTGCAGCCTCATGTTTTTTGGTTTTCTTTGGTATGGTCTTCTGATGCAGAAAGGCACAGTTCTACATCCTGCCACCCCCATGAGAGTAAGACCACATGCTCATCTTTAGCTACTCAGTTTACTAATAATCTCTGTGCTTGTTCATTTGTGAATGACTTGAAGGCACTCACAGCATTAAAGGAAGTCTCCTCCTGGAGATTTTTAAAAGAGACTCTCCTAGATTTTTTGAAGTTGGGATATTCATAGTTTGCATGGGCTTGTTTCTTCCGAGTAGATGTGTGCTAAATGCTAATGCTTGCATTATAACTGGCTGTTTTATAGTAGTATGATATTTAACTGGCACCCAAGATTCAAGAACAGAGATAATGCATGAACATTTGGGCCACATTAAGTGAATTGTTAAAAAAATTCTGGTCTCTCTCATTATTTTAACCTCCAAAGAAGAAATCCCCTATAGGATAAATGTTTAATCATTAAAGCAAACAGACAAACAAACCAACCAAGCTTTTATCATTGTTGGTGGGAAAAGTAAGTACGCCTTACACTTTGCAAGACTCACAAGGAACAGCAGGCACATTTCTGGTTGCGAGTAATATTCTGGTTATTTGATGTTTTCAGGAGGAGAGAGAAGAATTTGTAGCTGAATTTTGGCAGCTTCCTGGCTTGAACTTCAGGATGAGCATCAAGCAAAATGCCAGAGAGAATGATGCTGACTGGGACATGTTTATGTGACCCTTCTTTTCCCCAGACTAATTTAGTTATGCCTTGCTCCACAGCAGTTCATAAGTTGTTTTTGTAAGAGTAGGGGATCCCAGAGAGACCAGGTTTGCTCTCTGCCCACCTTGCCCTATTCACCTTCCACATTGCCGCAGGAGCATTTACTGCTGTGCCAATTACAGCCGTGATGGGGGCTGTCTTTGCTGGATGTTGATATCTGAACAAACAAACCAAGAGTCTGGTCTTGATTGCTGGTGTCTCTACAATTTGGTTTCCTGTGGTGTGTTTGTACAGATGTAATGGTTGGTATTCCCTTGCTTTTAAATAATCACGGCCATACCAAGGGGCGGGAGGACAGGACTAATTTGTCGGGATTTTGCTGCAGGATCCCCCACCCTGCTCCTGTGGCTTAGCTTCTGTTCAAGGCTTGCTGCCTAACCTACTGCTTGGGGTGGTGACTTCTGTTTCCATCTGTCCCCCCTCAGAAAGGGCTTGTGAGTTCACTCCTCTCAGCCTAGGACAGCTGTCATTAGACCAACTATTGCCATGTAATCACATCTTGTCTGCAGATTGAATGAACAATGAGCGGCACACAGAAAATGTCTCCAAGGACAAGGAGGATGCAGAGAGCATGAATAAATGACCACCTCTGTGGGCCCTTTGTACGGGAGGGTGTGTGTCCTGGATACCTCTCACTTCTTGCAGCCAAAGAAAGGTTCTTTTTTGCTTCTTTGTATCCTGCTGACCACTTACCTGCTTCTCTATTTGTCCAGAGCCATTACCCCCTCTGAGCTGCACCTGAGGAACAGTGAATAAGCAGCTCCTACTCAAAGGATGTGGAAAGACAGATTTGAGCTCTTTTCTCACCTTGGTCATAGCCAGTGATTTGGGTCACACCTTTGATCCCTGCTAGACCTAACTGCCTGAGCTATGTAAAGCAAGCTCCTTTACAGTCATATGACGCATAGAGTTCCCCTATCACTCCATCCTTTCTACCCCAGGACATGCCCTCACTCTTATTTGAAGCTCTTTTCCCTTACATGTTTGACATATTTGGGAGTGGAGTTGAGAGCCTTTAAATCCTTAAGTACTTCATAGGCAGCAGCACTGAAGGAGCAGTGAGCTCCAAGCAGAGCTCCCTCTCAGACTACTCGCATCATATCCAAATGTCAGTGGAGAGAAAAAAAAAAAAAAGGCTAATTGTATGCTTTCCAATTTTCTTTATTAGGAAGATCAAAAGAATTGCTGCCTTTACTGGTAAATCTCAAGGATGAATTGTGGCAGCCAGACCAGTACTGGTCTGTGTTGAACTGTAGTCACCCAGAATAAATCAGCATTAATTGCAGTCTAAGGCTGTGATTCCAGAGGGGCTGCTTAAGCACCACACAGTGACCCCGACTGCCCGGCTGTTAAAGCCAGTGGCAAAACTCCCAGGGATCTCAGGAAGTGCATGGCTGAGGTTGCATCCTTGCCTTCTTTAAAGCCAAATATCTTGTTACCTCTCTGAGCATCATACAATGATGTGGTGAGCACAGCTGCCTCAGAGTTGCGGGATCCAGAGGGAAGGCAATACCTTGACTTTCTGGCCACAGGAAACCTGTGCAAAGTTGTTCTGGTGGCCTTGGAGAAGATGGGGTGGCTGCTGGTTCAGGTTCTTGTCCTTTCCTAGCTTTACCCATAGCAAGATCTGTCACCCACTGCAGCAAGGGACATTTCCTGGCCCCACAGCTGGCTATGGCACCAGCTAGACTGAACATTTCCATCACAGCCAAGCAAATTGTTCTTGTGTTGCTCTCACCTGAGATGATTTCTCCTCTTCTTCTATGCCTCCCTTCAGAGGTGGCACATACTGCTATATGGGTGATCGTATGTTGTTGTGGCTGTCATGTTTGTGGCAGGAATGCAGAAGGATCAGCAAAACATGATGTCCATGATGCAGAAAGAATTCTACTATATCAAATTTTGTTGTAATTCTCACTAAAACTATCTTTGAAACTAATGCAGCTTTAAATATGAATGAAGTATATATATATCAATTCAAGATTTTCCTCATAAAAGGCAGGAAAAGGAATTCAAGTCAGTTTGAAAGCCTTACTAGCCTGAGAATTTGAGTGCCAAATGATTTTGAAGAAAGTTTGTTTACTGCTATAAAGGGAATAACATTTTATTCAGTAAACCAAGGGAAAGATTGAGAAAAACACTGGTGGAAAGGCAGAAACATGGTCTGCCGGAAAGCAAAGGAGACAGGCCACCTTCCTGCCACTTGCTCATGGAGAAATGCTGGTATCTTTCCCCTTACATTAATATAAGTGGCTGGAAAGCTGAGCAAGCAGGGTGCCTGGATAGGGCAAGAGGTGAGGGGCAGCAGGGCAGGACTGAGCTGCAAGTGGGTGCTTTCTGTTGGGAGCTGAGGAATGATGGCCAGAGCTGCACTGACTCTTCCCAGGACCTGTGCAAGGACCAGATGATGCCTCCTGCAAAACAGGACAGCAGCATGGGGCCAGGCTTTGCCATTGCAAGCTGAAGACTTGGCAGTGGGTGTCATTTGCTCTGTTATTAAAAGAAATTAAAAGCAACCCTTGGACAGCTGTTAAATATGATGCTGAGAAGCTGACATCGATTGCTCCTGTACTTGACCCCTTCAGAGCGATTTATAAACACTGGCTGACTAATCCTCCCCAAGCAGCCAGGGGAAGGAGCAGGCAGGAATTTTCCCTCCTCTCTTCCACCTCCATTTTGTAAGAGGAAATGGGAAGTATGATCCTGTACCCATTATCTCCACATGACAGAAGCCAGGAGTGGGCCTGGCTGTGTCCACCTAATGCCATGGGAGATGGGATGGGGCACATTGGCCAAGTGGGGCACCAGTGAGGACCATGGCCTTGGCTCAGGAGAGAGATTTATAAGTAGCACACCACGTTGCCGTTCTTTTTATATACAATCGGAAATGTCTTGAAGCCAGATGCTCAGCTGGTGTAAATCAGTGGAGCACCGCAGATTTATACCAGCTGGAGAACTGGACCCAGTGCCCCAGTGGGAAGGGGATGGGGGAAAGGGAGAGAGAGGCTGTTTCTTAACCGCTCCACCAGCCTTCCTTCTGGGTAAATATCTCCATATGTTAACAAATGTTAATTAAAACCAAAAGCACAGAAGAGCTCTCAGGATGTGTGTGTAACAGGAGCACCCCAGGATCCTGCGCTCCTGTAATCTTTTGCCTCCCACTGGATCTCACCTTTTATTTGGTGTTGCACCTCCCTGACTGATATTTAACCTTGCTCCTGGTGCTCTTTGTTGGAGTTTTGCCATGCATATGATATTGCTCTGATGGGTATAGGCCTAGTGTCTACAGACACCTGGGAGCAACCCCAGATGTTTCACCGGTCAAGGGGGAAAATACGTTTTGCTGCAGTGTGCCTTACAGTCATGTAAGTAACTGTGCTCATCAATCAGGAACTTTATGGGAAGGGACTCTGGAAATGCAGCTTCTCCTTTGGCCTCCAGGTGATCACCGCCTTATCTGTGGACTGTGATAACTCTGAATATGATTGTTTCTGGGGGACAAAGGCATTATGCTTTAAAAAAAAAAAAAAAAGAAGGCATGAATACCTGTGGTTCTCTATAGGTAATAATAAATAATCACAAGTTTGCCCTTGAGGTGAAAAGAAAGTTTCAGAAGTGGATATTCAAAATACATGTATAAGGGCCAGATTATCTCCAGGGAAGCTGTGCCTTGGAGCTGTCAGGCTGGTATTAGAATGACATTTTCAAAGTGATGGATAGTACTTAGTCTCTGAATCTTGCACTGCCAATAATGGTAGTTGTACTGTTGTGAAGATGCAGGGATAAGTATATTACATATTCACAGCTCATCATTTCATGGCCAAAACTTTTTTTTTTGAAAATTCAAGTATACATGATGTGTTTTCACAGAGACTCTAGCTCTTTGCAAGGGGGTTCCTGCATTGATTAGAAATCACTGATGTCCTCAAAGCCTAATATTAAAATATTTTATTATTTTAAATTGTCATTACTTGCACTTGATAGAGCTGGTTTATGTGTTTGTGTTAGAAATAGACCCAAGAGAATTGCAGCAGGTTATGATGGCAATGTAACAGAGGTACGTGTGCCCAAATATAGCAAACAGCCTCTCTTTATTTCTCAGTAAAAGCATGTTCCTGCCGTCCTTAAGTTGGTGGCAAAAATCCTGTTGACTTGCTGTAGGTCATAAGTGGGTTCAAAATACTATTTCCCAACCCCATGAAGTCAGTTTAATATTTTTGTAGTAGTAGAAAGGTGGTCTATGCAAGAAAACAGGGACGAGTTTTAAAGAACCAGTCTAGCATTTGGGCTGTATGCAGAATTAATGTAATGTAGGTACCCCAAAAAATGGGAAAAGTTCTGCATATACCTCGACTTGCCTAGAAATGCCCTAGAGATGATGCTTTCATTTTACCGAAGTATTTGGCTTGGATATGTTTATGGAGATTGCTGTCTGTTACTCCAGGTCTGGCTTTTGTCTCGAGTGACACTTCTGGTGAGCACATTAGCACTGAAGGCAAATTTGTTCTGTTGTGATGGCTCTGCAGCAAGTACAGCTTTTGTAAACAGATGCTGCAAGAGAGGTAGGGTTTTTGCATCACTCCAGGTCTCTCGAGATCTAAAGTGTTCAGGTAAATAACTGGTTGAAAGACAAAAGAAATACTGTTAACTGTATTCTCAGACTGTCTCTTTGTAGAAATTCGTTACTTATAATCTCTTTCTAGAATTTTTGGCTGAAGGTACACCACAGTAACTCCTTTATACTTAGTTGAAATCCATTCCATCCATGACACATGTAACTAAAGTGGCTAACAAACACTGCACAAACAACTTCTGAATTTTTATAAACGCAGACAAGTGTCAGACAAATTTTCAAAACAGATTTGTTTGTTTGTTTGTTTTTAATGCACTTCCTCCAACATTTCTGTAATGCCATTTTTGGATCTACATAGCTCAGCCATTTTTGAAAATACTGTGAGCCTGATCTACAGTCCTGGCAAAACCCTTCTTGGATCTGAGACCTGCTGAAGGTGGATGCTGTTTGGAGCTTCCTCACCCTCCTGCATATATAGCATAGCTCCATTTGTTTTGTTTTGTCTTGCTAGCCTTTCTTCTGTTGCTGAAGGGCTGGCCAATCCCTTTCATCACTGGTGTTTAGTAATATGGGTGTTCATTTTCAAATATTTATGAAATACAGCGATGTATGAGTACCGCATCCTCCTGAAAGGTTCTCATGAACAGTTTTCAGCTGGGAAATGGCAGCAGTATGTGCAGTGATATAACCTAACTTTTTTTGACTGTCGTATATAGCTTTTCTCTTGTTGCCTGCTGGATGGTTCAGTAGCACACACATATTACTTTCCTGGGTTGGTCAAAACGTCCTAGAAGTGTATTTCACTCTGTAACACCTCACTTTGCCATGGACATTAATTTTTCCTGTCATACTTTTTTGCTGCGATGGGCCGCAGAGCTATGTACCAGCCCTCCACCAGGCATCAGTGAAACCTATGGGTATATTATTCTGCACTACAAGTGTACCATATTCCCCAGGCCTTGGTGAACGGCATGTGAAGCAGTATCACTGTGAGGTGGGCTGGGGTCTGACAGTAGGCAGATTTCACCTTGCTTTGGATTCTGTCAAGTTTTGTTTGCCTCGTGTTCCCAGGGTTGAAGTAGCCTACGTTGCTGAACCTGCTGAAACATGTGTTACTGGTTTTTAGCTCTAGTTTCTCTGAAGACCTGGAAAGCAGCAATGTTGGTACAAGGGAGGCATTCACATTACAGTCACTGTCAGGCTCTACAAGTCTAAGCACCTAGAAATTAAAACATACCTACAGCCATCATGAAGTGGTGCTGAAGTCAAACCAGTTGTGGGTACTATGCAGCTCTGGGCTGGCACTGACCGCAGTACCCACACCTGTCACTGTGATCTGTGGTTTGGAGGAAGAAATCACCATTAAACTGTGTGCTCTGTATTAGTACAAGGCGTTAGGCTTGCAGGAGATGAGCAATCTCCAAGATAGATACACACCATGATCATGCTCTGTTAGACCTCATCTCAGTATTGTTTCTGCATCAGTGTTGAAATACTGATGAGCAAACATATGCGCTGTTTCCATGTTGTGTCTCTCCAGGTTGTGTGCAATGTCCTGTTTTGGGATGCTGTCTGCTCCTGATCATTTCAGCAGCCGCAGTGCTGGCAAAAGTGATGAAAAAAGGAGAGTATTTGAAGCAAAGCACCTAAGCCTAATTTATGGATGAAATCTTCTTATGACATTGAGCTGTGGCTGTTAGAAACAGGTAAGAAACATTGGTCTAGTGTTTGTCAGCAGAATTTTGGTGGACAAGTGGTAATGGACTTCACCCTAGGCTTGCATCCTAAGCCAATTGCTGTGCAGATAAAAGCAGCCCTTTCAAGCTGTTCCATTGGGTTTTAAAAGCAAAGCTGAGAAGGCTTCACTGGGGAACTTGATCTCTTGTAGTGTTTATTCTCACCAACCAAAAGCAGCAATTAGTATCTCTTTCAGATGGTGAGAATCTCTTTCAGATGGTGAGAATAAACAGTCTTGTAGACATGCAGAGGAAATGGAAATGACATATGAATTTTCATTAACCTATTTCTCCTTGGCTTTGCTGCAAAGTGCCAAAATACAGCGATATGGATCCTTCAGTTATGAACCCTGGCATCTTCCTGGGCTGCTGGCTTTAGTTGAAAGCAGGCGAGTTTCACATGTGTACCCGAGATCCATATGTTTCTTGTGGGTTGATTGTCTGAACCCTTGGTGCTTTTGCTCCGTCTGCATATAACCCAATATTATGGAGATATCCCTGTTTTTAAACACAACCATATGATCAAGAAATCTCTAAATGATATGATTTATTTTGATATCTCTGACTCTCATTATAGTCTCAAGCAGTCCTTGGTCTTGCCTGGATGCTTCGTGTTCATTGATATAAAACAGTATGGCAGAAAATCTGATGTCATCTGCAGCTGCTGTGCCATATTTCAAAGGAGAAAGCATTAACCCTTTCTAGCAAAATCGTTCCTGTGAAGGACAAATGTCTTCTTGTCTGAACAACATACCCAGCCTAATCATTGATGTCTGTACCCAGTTGGCAGCAGCAAGTTTACTGGGGTAATCTGGCACTGCTCCGTGCAAGTTAGAGAAGCTGTAATTCTCACTTCTGGCAGCAGATGAATTTGACCCTTTTCCTAAGACTATGCTTTATTTTATCAACTTCATGTCCTCTGACATCTGGTACCATAAAAGTGTTCAGCCACAGAGATGGGGTTTCTATAAATATATTTCTCCCATACAGAGATTGACAGCATTCAAGTTGCAAAGTGTTTCAGAGCTGTGTGGGAGGAGGGAGGAACAAGTTGAGGGGGAGGCGAGGTGTCTTATTTCCCCTCTCACCTCCTTCATCTCAAGTCCTTATGTCCTCTGGGATGTGATTTTAGTGTTAATGGCAAAGGTGCTCCAAAGCAGTGGTAAATGTGGGCCCCAGATGTGCTAATTCAGCCTGGGACAGGCAGGGGAATGCATGGGTTATCTCACTCACCACTCTGACAGCTTCAGTTCAGGATAATCTCTCCTCCTGTATTTCTGACTCTACCCCCATCCACCACCCCAGCTGGTCATCCCCTGCTTCAACACCATGGCATGAACACAACAGGCCCCTTGCAGCTCTAAGCTTGGGGGGCATCAGTGGGTCTTGCATTGGCTTATCTGCCCCCTGAGTCCTCTGAGCAGCCTCAAGCCAGGTCTGACCACTGCTGCTGCAAGGGGAGTAGGTGGAGGGAGCTGTAAAATAAAACAAGGCAGTGCACCAGTGTAGGCAGCCATTCAGCAGTGATGGGTCCTTCCTTTAACCTGTCTTGAAGGTTTTGTAAATTGAAGTAAAAAAATCACTATCCCTTTTCATATACCCCTTACCATGTAGACAGATGGCCTCAAGGGTGACTAGAGGTACCAAAAATGTCAATGTGTGGATGGTGAAGGTATATATAACATGTGTCACTGTCATAAAAGATGAGGAGGTTGCCCTTTCTTTTTTTCCTCAAAATACAGCCCTTGCGCTTTGCAGCATGTGCTACTATACTATTGATTTACTGCTTGATTATAATGACATTTCATAACACAAGTGTTATTAAAAGCTTGTTAATCTCTCTTAAGGATCATATTCCTCAAAATGTTTGAACAAAATGCGTTTATCTTTAAGGACATATTTAAATAAACTCAAATGACTTGCTGTATCAAGGTTTTAATTACGAGTTGCTCTCCTTAGTGCAGAGCTGGTGGCTTCTTTCATGTTCTTATGTGATTTCTGAAGTTTTACTAAAGCACTACTACATATCCAGTATTTCTATCTCACCCTTTCTCTCTCTCTGTCTCTCTCAATCTCAGTGCAAAGAGGACAAATACTTTCTGAAGTATGCCTGACTCAAAGCTAAGTGGATTTTGCAAGGGAGCTATTCTATGGCGGATTAACAGCCGTCCTTGCCAATTAGTACAGGAAATATTTTTCAGCGTATGGGACATTGATGAGTGAGTGCTCTGTGCACTGGGCATGTGGTCCTTGTTATTAAACATCTATGTTGCGCCAGTGTCTAGAGGTAGCAAGAAGTTTAGAGTCCCGCTGTCCACAGGACTTTGCAAGCATAGAGAACATCCTCAGACCAGAGCAGAGAGGTCTGGGGTGTCTTCAGTTTGTTCGTACAACAGCAGCGTATCTTCAACAGCATTATCTACCAAATATTTTGTGTAGTTGTTATTTACTTGACATGTATTCGGGGGCTTGTTTTTAAATGACAATACACTTTGAGATACTTCATGAAGGTATGCAGTTATTTCTGCTACTGCCATTTTGTGAATGCTTATGTGCAGAAGGAGATGCTGAACTCAGGTTTTCCACCTGTAGTGCCGTAACTGTGAGCAGGAGTGAGTCTTAACACTCTGATGGGAATAAAAGACTCCTACAACCATAGGACTCTCATTAAATACTTGCACTGAGGCCTTGACTGCGTATCTAATCTTTGCAATTTAACTTAGTTCAAAACCCTATTTTAGCTCAAGTATAAACAGCGTTGTAGGTGACCTTCTCTGCTAAATCTAATCCTATGTTTAGGTTAAGTTTGCAGTAGTGCAGACACAGAGTATATGCCCTTTAACTATGGTTTTGTCGTTTTGTTAGAACTGTAGAAAATTGAATGAGAATCTCTGAAAAAGTCTGAAGCCCCACCTCTCCTTGTAATGTTTGAAAGGGGCTTTGTGTCTTTCTTGAAATGCTCACAAAATCTGTTCATGTCAGGATCGCATACTTCTTAGAAAACATTAGGGAAAGTTAAGGAAAGTTGTTGCTGAAAGGCATACAAGCATCTCTTCTATTTGCATGGCTTTCTATTTCTTACGTTGGTTAAAGAGAAAACGATTAGTTCTTCAGAGTACTTAAGCAGCTTGTGTGTCTGTTTTCCCCTGGAGAGGTGAAAGACAGTGGAAGAGGAAAAGCTACCTTATGTCTACCAGGGTGAGAGCCTGCATGCCAGCCACTACTGCAGAGCAGCTGTGCTCTACATTTACACCTTTGTGCGGAAAATTCACAAGCCGCTTTGTGGTATCTTGTTTGTTTCTACCCATAACCTGGCTGTGATTTTAAAGGAAATATTTTTCACTTTAGTTACAGTGGTGTGAAAGTCTGCGTTGATTTTCTGTGAAGGTGGGGAGGAACTGAGTCTATTAAACCAGAACAAACCAGCTGGCTGTACGTACACTGGATTGCCTGCAACTTGATGTTGGACTGATTTAACCTTCAAAGTAGGATTTCTCAGGCTTAATTAAGCTGGAGTAGCTTTACAAGCAGTTTAACCCTGTGCTGTGTTCAACCTACCATAGGCAAGTTTGGTTTTGTAAAAGGTGTATGCCTTACTGACCTAGAGTGGCTTTCATGGCCCAGTTAAACTAGGACCGTTTGTGAATAGAAAATGTCTGGGAAGGAGGAGAACCATGAGGATGACAAGAGATAGTTCATGGTGCTAAAATGAAGTAGAAGTACTTTGGGTTTGGCTGTCAATTGTGAAGCCAGGAGTGGGTATTGGAGAATCTGCAGGTGCAGGCAGTGGTGACTTGCATCACTATGTTTTATTAGTACTCTAACTCGCATTCATTTAGCAGGGCAGTCGGAATAACCACAGGGGGCTTTTACTGCTTCTGGGTAGCAGAGGTATAAACATCTGTCATATTTAAGCTAGGGAATTCCTCCTGTTAGCTGCCACTGGTGGAAACTTCCCGATGAGTGAATTCCCTCCTTTGCATGCTGGACCTCTAGGGTTTGGAAACAAACCACTTTCTTTTCCCTGAGTTTTTTCCCTCTCACAGTGCCAACATTGAGTTATTTTTTTTCCCCACCACAGGGTGTTTTTTGATGTTGTTGATTATGAATATTTTCATTTTTTGATGTTTTCTTTTATGGCTTTGAGTTAGCTGTCTTAAAAGAGGAAGGTTTAACCATCTGGTACAGGGAACAATCAGCATCCAACAGGCATGGCTGGTTTGCACATCATTCCAGGCCTGGTTAAAATAAACAGAACCATCATCTTTAGAAAATAAGATGCACCAGGTGTAAAACCACCTTGAGCTCTGTGAAAAGAAGGTGAAATTTATGCAGCACTTAAGAGAGATCTAGGGATTAATGGAAGGGTGTTATAAAACAAAATTCTAGTTTCAGTTACTTTTGATGCCTTTATCTGGAAATAAGGGTCCAGGAAATAAAACCCAGCTAAGAACCCAAGGGGAAACATTACCCTGAAAACTGTGGGCTCCTCATCAGAGGCGGTTTCTGTTTTTTCAAACTATATTTTTTTCCCAGTGTGCTGTCTCCGTAAGTGTGTACAGATCACCCCTCCGACACGAAACGGGTACATTCTCTGAGCTGGCCATGAATTGCCATACACAAGAAAGTGTAATTAGAGGGAGCCATCAGAAAGACCTGCACAGCCCCTTTCTGTGGGGGCGAAGGGGCAGGAATGCTGTGCTTTCAGCCAGCATTGTTCCCCTCCCCATTCAGCTGGAGTGGCAGACTGTTAAAATTACCCCTACCCCCCCATTCCTAGCCTGCTAGTGCTGCTCGTTCCTGCTGTATGTGGGGATGTAATTTTTTCCTGCTTTCTTTATTCTCTCTTCCTTTTTAAAATACACACATATATATATTTTAAGGTCAATATATCTCCCAGAGTCTCTTGTGAACCTGTGGGCTTGTGTATGTTTTGTCTTTTTTTGCTTGCTTTTTTTTTCTGTGACAAACTTTAACCCTTCTTTTTACCCCCTGTCTTTCCTTCCAAGCAGCCTTTACCCTGCTTGTGTGAGCAGCTGACAAAGAGAATAAGTAATTTCTTAGCCTTTCAGTGTTGAACTGCTTCTGGTTTTGTGAGCGGCCTTTGCACCTGTTGTGATAAGCAGAGCTCCCTTCACAGCAGCACTGAAAGGGTGGCAGTCTTCCCCCCCCCTTTAAACTTTTTCTTTCAGTGAATGCCAATAATTAAGGAAAACACTTGAGTCTGCAGTGGATTCTTTAGCCTGACAAAACCTAGTATTTATATAGATTAAAATGAACAGGGCGACCAAGGCACCTTTCTCATCAGCTTGGTGAGAACTCTCTGAAGCAGGCTTGTTGCATGAACAAAACAGGATGACCAGTTCACTTACTTAACTAAATTTGGCTTTACCCTACCCAACCTTGTCTGTCCTGTTTACACCTCCAAACAGCGTTCTCCTCGTGTGAACTTGCCTCATCATGTGCGACAAAGCGTGCAAAATTATGTGTGCCATCGAGAAAATAATAAATCGCTGCTATTTAGCATTTTTAAGAACTGTGCATTTTGATGTACTTTTTAATAAGTCCCTTCTCTCTTTAATTTGTGAACCACTTGTAGGTGTGGAGCTCTATTTGCTGAGGTTTAACCTGATGGAGGCTTTCCCCTTCGCCTGTGCTCGGTGTGCCAGCTCCATGCCAATGGGACCTTTAGCACTTGTGGAAGGGTGATGAGTGCCTTCATTGACCGCCCCTCAGTGCTGGCTTCAAAAAAGGCACCATGGACCAAAAAAAAGAGTGGAAAGGCTACCCAGCTGCTCACACAATGCAAGAGAAGGCCTTGGCTGCTGTTCAAAGCCACTCTGAGTGAGTGTTTCAATTTAATTCTAAATTAAAAGCAGCCAGTGTTGTATAGCACAGTGAAAAGATTATGTATTAATGCTTTTTCCCCCTGACATAATACTAATGATTGCACTAAAATAAATAAAAGTTAAACCTTCTTCTTCTCTTTGCCCCCCCCATTGCTATATTATGCTGTGGCAAGCAGCCAGGTTTTCCTAGGTAAAAAGAAGACGGGAGAGGTCCCAAAACTGCAAGACTGAGAGGGGGATCATGCACTGCTGAGGTCTGCTTCAGCCTTCTCCCTGCTTCTTCGCCATTGATGTGCTTTGCTTCAGGCCCCATTGAACAACAAGTAAGAGAAGAAGCCCCTTAGCAAAAAGCCTGAGTAAAATTGAAGTTGCCAACAGAAGGAAGCTGAGGGCTGTGAGGTAGTGACTTACCAATGTGTGTGTGGATATGTGTCTGATTGCTCCTCCAGAAAACCTGGTGTTTGCTTCTATGGGAGCAGGTGAGTGATACTGTGCTCTCACTGGGAAATATCTCTCTTCTCAAGAGCTGGTCATGACAAACGATACCTCTTGGGATGCTCTGTGGTCACGTTTCAGTGGGCTGGGGTAACTGCCCTCTTTGGTGGAGGGATAATGAGATGTGGTCACAGCAGGCTGCGGGGCTAGACCCTGCTTGTCTAGTGGGAGAGCAGGCAGCCATCAGCGTGCCCCACTGAAGGAGGTGACAGGATGTGCCATCTCACTTTTTGGTTAGCCCACATGGTATATGAAATACAGTGAAAACACTCATGCAGTGCAAATTCACGCTCCAGGCGTGATGTTATTTCAGATGTGGAAGTCAGGAGGAGCAAAGTCAGAGACCAGATACCACAGTGTTGTGGTTTAGTGCTTTCCATGCTTTTGACTGTACTTCCTTGGCATATGCATACAGTATCCCAAATTCCCACAGTTCTCATTCAACATGTTGAGTCTCTCTTTTGATGACCAGGTAGGAACAGCTCAAAATGGGGCACCTGCTCAGGCTGGGGGTCCGTGCTGACAGGGCAAAGTGCTTGCTGGCATGCTCTGAGCCAGGGGTGAGGCATGCTCCTCTCTTCTCTGGCAACCTGGTGAGGGCTCCTCAGCTGTTGTGAAGCTGGAACAGCCAGATGTCAATGTGCAGATTAAGAGGACCTGAGCAAACAGGGAAAGGGGAAACACAGCATTTAAGGGATGCTTGGGTGATGTCCTTCCTGCTCCTCTTGCAGAGTTAGAAATAGGACGAACAATTTAACTTTGGTGGCTCACAAATTTTTGTTTCCCCTGCTCTTCCCTCTTTCCTGATCTGGTATGGCAGGGCTAGACATCATGTCCCTGTCCATCTGTGCCTGCCCTGCCCTCTCCTCAGAATACAGGAGATCTGGTGAAATTGTTTTAACAGACAAATGCTTTGTTCAAATTGTAGCTGTGGTGGAAACACCTCTGGTTGGGAAGCCCTCCTCATGCCCTCTCTGCCAGACCCTGTCTTGCTCAGCCCCTGTCCCAAACTGCAGTCCTGTATAGCTTCAACCCCATGTCTGAGCACCTCCTCCCTGCCGCCTGCTAATCTGGCTGGCAGTATTCTTACAGAATAACTGGAATATACTGAAATATGGATCATACTGGGAAATCACATAGGAAGGTTATCACAGAAACAGAAAAATATATTAACTACCTCCTGATACTACCCGTAAGTCACAAGTTTTCACTTTTAAATGTATGTCAACAGTGATCTTCATGAGTTGCTCACACATTTTCTGCCTGCTGGTCAAGGAGAAATAAGTATTAGCTACTGGCCCTGGAGACACTGGGTTAGAAGCATTTTCTCTGGGAGAAACTGCCTGCCAGACCTAAACACTAGGGCAAATCCCCCATGGAAAACCATGTGTGCAGCCATGCTTGGCTGAAGATACGGGAAACGGGTGTCCAACTGGTGCAGCTCTCTTTGGAAGATCTGGGCTTTAAAATAGAAACTTTATCCTAGAAAACTTAATGAGGATTCATAAAACTTGGGTATATATTTAGAAAATCTAGTGAACTTGCCTTCAGCTTGAAACAAGGAGATAACATATAAAACCCAGACTGTTTCTGCAGCTTGTCCTAGAATGAGAAAGCGAGGGCCAAAATGATACAAAAGAGGAAAAAAGCTGGATTTCCAGATGAGGCTATTCTTGGCAGGTCTGCAGATTGGTGGCTCTGCTTTCTGTCATGCAGGACTATCTGTGATATGCGTTTGATTAAAGCTCAGGAAGCATTTGCACGCAGAGTCCTACGAGCGTTATTTCTGAGGCTGCTGAGCCTTGATTGCTGTCAAGTGAAGTACACTGCAGAATTGGGGTAACCAAGACCCTAAATTCCTTGGGCAGCCTACAAAGAGACCTGCCTATGGTGGCATAGTGAGGCATGGGAAGGTGACCATTTTGGTTGAGAAGGGAGAGTTGACAGTCCCTCATTCTGACAACAGAGACATGGGCACACACAGATTTACTTTGATGATGCGAGGAGGGGGAAGGAGGGAATAAACTCTGTCCTTTCCTTCCTGCCCACCTTATCTTTAATTTAAGGCTGATGGATTGATTACCATTTGTTATTGTAAGTCCATATGTGTACAGATCCAATGGTAGGATTAGGTTCCTCCTTCTTTGTTATTCGAAGTCAATCGCAGTTCATTAAATCTCCCTCATCAGTTCCACCACCTGCTCCTCTTCCTTCTCTGACCAGAAGTCGCATGCCTATTTACCCTCTTCCCTTTGTTTTCTGTTTGTTTCTCTTTTAATTACATCTCTTGATCTTTTCCCCACCAATTATTTTGAGGAGAGAATTGGTCAGGAAACATGAATGCAAATGAAATTGTGGTTATGAATAGAAACAAAGAAATGTTCGAGGGATCTTTGTGTTTCATTTTCTAAACAGCTCTGGACTTGTGCTTGAGATCCCAGCATACCCTTTTCACAGGGCATGAAGCATGGAGTCTGCAGCATGGGAGCAGGGACAATCCTTCCTTACTCATCCTTGCGATTGTACAGTGAAGGATTTAACAGTCTCCTTCGGGCCTTGGTGGAATTTTTCAGTTTCTCCTGTAATCCTGACAATTCTCGCACTTGGCAATGTCAGACTGTGGTGGCATGCAGGTGGAAAACCCAGCACCAGCAGCAAATTCAACATAGATGAAGACCTAGCTCTTGCCTTGGCTTTGCGTGCACAGCCAGGCAGCTGGATCACAGGACGGAGCTGTCTGTGGGACAGCCTTCGCCCCTGGTTGTAGCTGGGTGAAACAGCTAGATGGATTTAATCAACAGGGTTTATGATTAATAGGCATTGCAGTCTCTCGTCGGGACCCCAGCCAAGACAAAGGCAGCGGTGGGTTGGCGCTGTGCCGGTATGGGCTCAATAACCCCACCACAGGTTGCACTGCAATGGGTTAGCAGCGTGTAGGGGCCCAGGGGGATGGGAGTAGCCAGTAACAGCTGAAGGAAGGCATGGTAACACATGACAAGCATTTGAGCACTCATTGGACCAGACCCCCGTACTTCTCTCTGAAAACAGTGTTTAAAAACATGCTGCTTTTTCACTCGGGTGAGGAGATAAAGCATGGAACACTGCCTGGTGTGTTGGTGTTGGGGAAGCCATGCAGAAAGAAAAGCAGGCAGAGAAGGTGCTTTTTCTGCTATTGGTAGACAAACCTCAGAACAGCCTCAAACCGAGCTCTGATGTTTAACCAGCTGTTTGGCAGGCCCAAGCTCATCCCTTTGTTTTTCCCCCCTTGGGTCGCTAGAAATCCTTTTTCTCACACCCATCTCCTTGCTTTGCAATTGTCTGTGCTGTCTATTTGCAACAGGAAAATGTGCTCACGTGGGTTTAGATGTTGTTTAATCCCTAAATGGAAAAACAACTGCAGAAACCAGGTGGCAATTTTCAAGTTTTATGCCCCTTCTCTGGGGTCAAGGTGTAAAGAAATCCATATGTTCATAGGTGCATAGGAGCAAGTAAACCTCGTGTCTCACTTAACTACCTGCTTCCGCTTCTCTTAAGTGCTGCCCTTGACTTGTCGAAGCCCTGTAACACATCCATGTGTGGAGGTCACTGCAGTGTCTCGAATTGTGTGTTTTCATCATGGTTTGAAGAATTTTTTGTAAAGTTCTTCTGCACTGGGTTGCCAACAGAAGGGTTAATGTTATCCGAGGTACTTCAGGTATTGACAGGGCTAACCCCAGGCAGCATGCAGCGTGATCAGGTGACTCCTACCTGCGTTCATTTGGGATAAGCAGTCGCTGGCTGGGTGCTTTAGCTGAATTTCATTTAAACCTCATAAATTTGCACACAGCTGGTAAGCCAGGAGAGAGTCTGTTTTCCAGAGGCCTTGGTGTGTGTTGTCTTTCCCCAACGCATCATGTGGGATTGGCTTGCTTCTGCCATTTCAGTGCTCTTGATTTTGTCCTTCAACAGTGTGCCAGGCCAGGGGAAGCAGGCTTGAAGCCCAGATGTGTGCTCCATCCAGAGGGGAGGAAGGGAGAGGACACACAGATCTGACAGCCTATTTGCCCATACTGACCAAAATACAAGGATGGGCAAGCTAGAAGGTAGACTTTGCTTTTTCTACACAGATCCTGGACAGAGGATGAGAGCCCAGCTGTGATACACACTGGTAGATCTCAAAAGGAGCATCCCCTTTCTGGGCTTAGCTGCTGGCACAGGGTAGTGCTCCCTTACTGTACAGCTAGCAGGTAGAGATTGCTGGGTCAGATTGTTTATCAGTGACATTTTTGTTCCTTTTCCTTTCACTTTGGGTCTCAAAACAAATTTGTGATCGTTGTCCCGAGCTCAGTTTAGATTTAGGTTGAACTTGTTTTCAAAACACCCCTCTGTGGTGCAACAGTAAATTGCTGTAGAGGGTGCAGCAGCTGAAAGGTAATGCGATTAGCCTGTGGTGTGACCCCTGCTGAGCAAACAGGACTGGGAGAGGGCTTTATACCCCTGCCTGGCTACTTCACTTTGTGTGCTGAAAAGGCTTCACCTCATGTCATGGCTTATGATTAACTAAATGATCTTAAGGTCCTTTCCAACCCTAACCATTCTATGATCCTATGATTTGGTGACACTCAAAGTTATTAGTCTGACAGAGCTCCTCTAGCCAGACGGCTGTCCTCCTCCTGCTTGGGCAGTGCTGTGATCAGGTTTAATGCTTCGCAGTTGCAGATTAGGTGCAACTATGCAATATCTTGGTTTCCATACTAAGCTAATAACTCAGTAGGCTTTAACTTAAAAGGCCTGTTTGTTTCCATAAACCCCTATTTAGTTCCCTTTTTGCCCAAAGATGGGAGAAAGGCTTTTTCAGAGGTCCAAGAGGTAGTAAAATAATAAGGGAGTGTGTGTAAAATGACCAGAAAGCCTCACTGGCTGTTTTCAGAACCTTTCTGCATTCCCTGTGGGAGGAAAACCAGAAAAAATACTTTCATTCTGCTACAGAGGCATTGCTAAGTGA